AAACAGAGCCAAAGTGAGCTGAGTCCATAATTTGATGCTTTTCCTCTAACATGCAATATAGTATCTTACTCCAAATCTCTTTGGACCCTTCATATGAATACATGTGTTCTGTGCTTGTTATAGCCCACAAACCTTTCTGGTTTTTGGAAACAACACATTACTCACTGATTACACTGTAATGAGAAGGCCAGTCATAGCCCCTCAGACCTAGGCTTGCCTCTGTCCCAACAAATTTCAGCCATCTCCTTTGCAAGTATGGAAGAGAGCCTAAATTTTACCACACAAGGTGAAATAAAACCCAAGGGTGAACTATTAGCTTTCAGGGGAACCAAGGTAAAGACACAATGTGAATTTACTACCGCAGAGTTGCTCTAAGATCCAGAACCAAACCCAATACATATGAGGGAATGGGGCAAGGTTCTCTCCAAAATGAAGAGCATGTGATTATTTCTCATTCCAACTAGGACCTCTGCAGTTTCTGAGGCTGAACAGTAACCACATAAGGAGGTGTACGGAATGATCCTTTATTTTGCTCTACCTTCCTGAGAATTATGCCCAAACTCTTAGAAGCCCCGCTTGGAATGAATGACTTGATAACATTAAGTAAGAAGAACCAATTGACACAAAAAGCTTGTCATCTCTACTTTCAAACCCCAGATGTATTACACAGGGTCAAATGACAATGTGTATAGGATCTTCCAAAAATTTATCTAGGGCATGCACTAATATTATATAAAGAAAATCTATTTTTGTCTTCAGCTTTATGGATGCTGCAGAATCTAAAAAAATAGCCTAGGTGAAGTTAACAAAAGAATGATAGCATGAGACACACTCATGCTGTGTCTGTGGGATTCTGACCAGACTGAACACCACTGTCAACTGGCTCAGGCAGCCTATGATCCTCTTGGTGCTAGGCTTCGTGAACACTACAGACACCCTGCCTCCAGGACCTTCTAGTGACTCGTGGGGCCCAGATAGTGAAGCAGGCACTTCTAAACAGTCTCAAGTGCTATTATTTAGCAAGAAGGAAGCTGTTGGAGTGTGAAAAGGGACAGAACATATCTTTATTCTACTTTATGAAGGTCAAGTAGAAGTTACCAGTCACTCATTAAAATCCTGCAATCTGTATACATTTATGGAGGCATGGCATGTTATAATCAATACTGCAAATACTCTTATTTCCCCTTACAGATTTACCTCATTATTTTCTGATGATTTTTTAAGAATTGGAAAATAAGCTTATTTTTTCTTTGCTGTTTTAAGAATTTTAAATAACTACTATATCAAATTCCTAAAAAACACATTTTATACATAGTACATTTTACATAGACCAAAATTCCTACTTCTGAATATTCTTAACAACCACCCTCTGCCTGGCTACCCTACCACAGCTGCTATTAACGGCAAACATGGGTTGTTCCACAAAGATCTAGATCTGTACTGTCCAAGCCAGGAGTCACTCACCAATGTGGCTATTAAGCACTTGAAATGAGGCTACTTCAAACTGAGATGTGTTGTGAGAACCTAGTATCAAGGTGAATGTCAAATATCTCAATGATTTTCTGAAATTGAATGTGTATTGAATAACAATACTTTGGATACATCAGGTTACAAAAAATGCATCATTCAAATTGATTTCTCTTTTTTTTTTTTGAGTTGGAGTCACACTCTGTCGCCCAGACTGGAGAGCAGTGGCACGCTCCTGGCCACCGCAGCCTTGACATGCTGGGCTCAGGCAATCCTCCTGCCTCAGCCTTCCAGGTAGCCGGAACTACAGGCGTGTGCTACCGTGCCCAGCTAATTTTTTATTTATTGTAGAGACGAGGTCTTGCCAATTTGCCTGGGCAGGTCTCGAACCCGCGGGCTCAGGCATTCCACTCGCCTTGGCCTCCCAAAGTGCTGGGATTGCAGGCTGAGCCACTGAGCCCAGCCCCAAATTGATTTTATCTCTTTTTGTTTTTTTAAAGTTGCTTACGGGGTCAATTCTATTCTATGAGACACAGCTGCTCTTGACAACAAACTGCCTTCCCTTTTAAAGAAATTGGGGGCTGGGCTCGGTGGCTCAGCCTGTAATCCCAGCACTTTGGGAGGCCGAGGTGAGTGGATTGCCTGAGCCTGCAGGTTCGAGACCCACCTGGGCAACTTGGTGAGACGTCATCTCTACAATAAATCAAAAAATTAGCCGGGGGTGGTAGCGCGCACCTGTAGTTCCAGTACTTGGAAGGCTGGGGCGGAAGGATCGCCGGAGCCCAGCAGGTCGAGGCTGCGGTGGCTGGGAGCGGCCATTGCACTCCAGTCTGGGCAACAGAGTGAGACTCCAACTCAAAAAAAAAAAAAAGAAATTGGGACCATCTTTTGTGCTTCTAATTTCAGTTATTCATAAACTGGATAATCTTCCCTACTCAGGTGCTAAAACACCGTTTAATATTTGCCAACTTCTTTTAAATTCTTGTCCCAGTTTATAAATAACCTTAGTTCCCTTTTCCCTTTCTCTAAATGGCATTTGAAAGCCAAAATTATTACCTAACTCATAACTGATTGATTGTTACCTTGTGTCAAGGAAAACAAAATCCAAAAGTGTTTTTGTGGGAAAAGACAACTAACAGTATCACACATTTCAAAAGTATCAGAAAGTGGCCCGGCTTTCTTCCTTGTCAACATTTCCTCTAAAATCTTCATTTACTTCCTCATTCTTCTCTGATTAAACAAGCTTTCCCTGTAATATAAAAATTCTCCATGAAACTATTTGTTTTCTATTTTACTTCCCTGAGAACTCAAGTATTGGAGCTACATCAACAAATAGAACTTCCTGGGGAAATGCATTCAAAATTTCAATATACAGACCTGCTGCAAAAGAACTCATTATAAATTGATATGCTGTTATGCAAACAACAGATATACTGAAGTAAGGTGCTAAAGAATTATAGCAGGCATAAACTGAAAGATTAGATGAGATAAAATGGCACATTTTGGAAAGCTGTGTTTTATACATTTTGTGAAAGAACAGAGTAAGCAAAGGTGAATTTCTGAGAAAGTTCTGCCAGGCCTTCTCATTTCAAAGGAGAGCTGGGGCAGGAAGGGAGGAAAAGGGCAGAAAATGAGGGGGGAGAAAGAGCTAGGACTTCTTTCCAAATAGCACAACTCTTGGGTTATCTGACCAGATCAGAGGATTGGGTAACAGTGTCAGGTCAATGCTTGTATTGCTATTTAAGTCACATTCATCACTTCAGGGCATGGCTATGTGCGAATGTAGAATCAGAATTAGGCATCAAGCTTATTTAGAAGTTTAATAAATTTAATTTTAATGAGACATCTTGGTTGGCATTAAAATTCATGAGACTCCCAGAACAGATTCTCTGGACCTTTCCTTAGAAGGTATGGAATTTATTTGACAATTTAAACTTGACCACCTGAGTAGGAAAATTCATGTCTACAAACTATACTTATGAATCCCAGCAGCTTTTTGAAATTGAGTCATTTCAAATTTAGTAGCTGCATACACTGTTCCATCCAATTAGTGACCTCTGTGGGGATTTTTTTTTCCCCTTTGGAATTCATCAGTTTATATCTCTGTGTCCATAAAATAGACTGGGTTTTGTGTGCCATTCTAAAAAATCATAGCTACTGAACTACCCAGCAATATGATGAGCTGGAACAAGGTCACATTCATAATTTAAGATGAGCTCAACATCATTTATATTTAGAACCAGATCGATCTAGAATCATTTCTCAACTTAGCTTATTAGCTGTGTGACCTTGGGCAAGTACATTTACCTCTCTGAGCTGCAGGATTTTTTTCTTCTTTTTTTAATTAGTCAAATGCAAATACTTCCTCCTACATTGCAGAGTTTTAAGATGAAGCAATAACATATGTAAACCAGCAGGTCAGCAGTCTATATAAAGTATGCAGACATGTGAAGCCTTCTGGTAGACATGAGGTTAGAACATGGTTAGTGTTAATTCTGTTGAGTCTTGGGATAGAATTCAGCATAGTTCTTTCTTGAGTTAAACTGTTTTATTACTTAAATACTACTTGAATTCCTCTTGGCTAGCGAAGTTCACATCTACCATGATTGATTATCTGACAATTTAGTACACTGCCAAGGATTCGTTAATGCCTCAGATCCACAGAGCTGTACTTCTCAAATTTTCATGCACTTTCGTTAAAATGCATATTCTGATTGAGCAGGGATGGGGCCCAGCTTCTACATTTTCGAGCAGCTCCCAGGTGATGCCCATGGTACTGGTCAATGAGCAGCCAGGCCACCTGACATAACTTCTGCACCTCCACACTATTGACAGTTGGGGCGGGATAAGTCCTTGTCGTGGCATAGGGCACTCTTGTGCATTGCAGAAGTTTAGCAGTATCCCTGGCATGAACCCCACTAAAAGCCAGTAACTCCCCTACTCCAGGTGTGACACCTCAAATGTCTCCAGACATTGCTAGATGCCCGGGGGGGGGGGGGGACGACGATCGCTGGGTGAAGAACCACTACCACATAGGATGCTACAATCAAGGCGCGCCCACAGCAGCAACAGTGAAACAGGCAGGCAGGTATCCTTGAGGCTATTTTGCAGATGGGGAAACTGAGGCTGGACACCGTTCAAGGTCGCACGGGTGGGTAATGGAAAGGAGGGCGGGGGTCCCGCTGCAACGCTCTCTGCAGTGAGAACCCGGAGCTGCGCGCCCGCCCGGTGGTCCCCAGGGACCGCGCCCCACGTGCTCCAGCCCCACGCGCGGCCAGCCCACCGGAAGCGAGTGCTGAGGCCGCGTAGATGCCGCAGCCACGCGCGCCGGCCAGCTTGGACATGGGCCCGCGGGCGCCGACCGCCGCCCGATTTCAGGGCCGGCCCAGAGCAGAGCGCGAGGGCACCCGACGGTCCCCGCCCGGACACGGTCCAGCCGCGGGACCCCGGCCCTGAAGGACCCCACCCTGACCCCGTCCCCAGGCCCGTTCGTGACAAGCCCTTGTGGGAGGCAGCGGCCGCAGACTACCCACCCAGAAGAAGGCCGTCCATGTCAAAGATGAGGTGGGTGGCTGGCCGCGGCGGGGGCACGGACGGGGGCGCTGCCATAGTTCCGCCTTGGTCGGGGTGGGGGCGAGGAAGAGGTTGCGCGCGCACCCGCCTGCCCAGCGCACGCGCGCTCTGGGCCTCCTGGCGCACCCGCGGCCGCTCTGCGCACGCACCTCTCCGAGGCCGCGCACCTCCGCCTGGGGTGCGACACGTTTCCCCGCGTGGATCCTCTTTTACTTCACACGTGGAAACAGGCTCATCCAGGAGACACACATAACCAAATCCCTAGTCTGGTGCCAAATTCGAGGTTTGAGTTTGGATAAAGGACGAGAATGAGGAAGGAGGAACCGTACAAGGGGCTATGACGTGAGGAGAGGGGGCTTGAAGATGCTCATGGTGGCATCATTACGAGCCACCAGGTTGCAGCTAAATAGTTTTGGTCACGGGTTTGAGCCCGGAGCACCAGCCCCTGGACCCCGGGTGGGTTTCCCTTTCGGTTTCGACTGCCTCAGCAGTCCTGGTTCTGGACCGGAGCTGGCAGCCGCACAGCGCATGCGCAGTTCGCGGACTGGGGGGAGAGAGGATGCGCGCCTTGGCGCCGGCGTCTCTGAGCACCCCTGTCTGGTGCATTTTCCCAACGCTAAGATCAGGCGGAAAACTAGTAGGAAGGGTACGCAAGGAGGGTGCTGAAATAATACTAATTTTTAAAAATGTCTTGCCGTGTTTGCCTTCTTACGTCTTATCTATCTTTTGACTACTTTGAGTTTTCTTCCTTTTTTAACCTTTTAGATTGTAACCCTAAACAACTTTGGGGGGGGACATTATCAGAACAATACCTCTTTGCCCCTGTTTCTTTTTTTTTTTTTTTTTTTGAGTTGGAGTCTCACTCCGTCGCCCAGACTGGAGTGCAGTGGCCGCTGCCGGCCACCGCAGCCTCGACGCACTGGGCTCCGGCGATCCTTCCGCCTCAGCCTTCCAAGTGGCCGGAACTACAGGCGCGCGCTACCACGCCCGGCTAGTTTTTGATTTATTGTAGAGAAGAGGTCTCGCCAACTTTCCCAGACGGGTCTCGAACCCGTGGGCTCAGGCAATCCACTCACCTCGGCCTCCCAAAGCGCGGGATTACAGGCTGAGACACGGAGCCCGGCCTGCCCCCTATTTCTATTTAGTGTTTATCTTCGTTGTATATGCACGTTTAAGGACAAGGATGGGACCTTGGAAAAGAAAGAGAAATAAGAAACTTTCAGAGACTTTTAAAACATGACGGTGTATTTCTGGTTAAGTGCATAGATGGTCGACAGGGACAAACCTAGATTCAGCAAAATCGATTATCATCTATGATAGACATTGAACCTCTGTATCTCAGTTTCCTCCTGGGTACAATGGAGGTGTTAAAAAAAGGCAAAGAAAACAAAACAAAAAAAATAAGGCAAAGCAGCTCAAGCCCGTAGTAATCGTTATTTTCCTTTGAGGACACTGGATTTCAGAGAAGGCAATTCATGAGCAAATTAGGAAGGGGATTGTGGCCAAAATGTAGTCATTTATGGTTTCTATATTAATTTGCTGCAGCTGTCATAACAAGGTACCACAAACTGAGTGGCCAAAACAGCAGGTATGTGTCGTCTTACAGTTTTGGGGACCAAAAGTTCTAAATCAAGGTGTCAGCAGGTTTGATTCCTTCTGAGGACTGTGAGAAAAGGATCTATTCTAGACCTCTCTCCAGCTTGTATGTGGCTGTTTTTTTTCTTTTCTCTGTATCTCATCATATTATCTTCCCTCTGTTTGTGTCTCCGAATACCAGTCATACTGGATTAAAGACCACCCTAATAATCACATTTTAACTTTATTACCTCTATTAAGACCCTTATTTCCAAATAAGATCAAATTCTGAGGTAGTAGGGGTGAGAAAGCCAACAAATTTTTTTGAGGGTACACAATTCAACCCATAACAGATTCACTCCAGAAATATCGGTGTGGACCTGCAGTATGCCAGTAACGGCCAGCTGTAGTCTTTAGAATTCTCACTCCCAGGTTGTTTTCATTCTTGGGAAACAAATGAATACACAAATGAGAGAGTTACTTTTTTCCTATTGTAACAACCTCAAAGTTTTGTTTATTAATTATATAAAAGAGTATTTTTGAAAGGGAAAAAGGCCCCAGCACGATTTGCTGAAAATGACAAAGTCTCACAGCAATTGCAAAAGAGAGCCATTGGGGAACCGTATGGACTTCAGCTCTCCACAGATGGGAAAACATGGTTCACATCATTTTTTTAAGTCTTATTTTCCACACTCTTCAGAAACAGCTCTTGCATACATAAAATGAAAAATATCCCTTCACTTAAGTAAAAAAAAAAATAAAACTGGGTACGTGGATGCTTTTTTATCATAAGCTATATAGGAAAAGAATGAAATTTTGTTCCAGTATTATGGTTTGTATACAAGTAACAAGTTTCCCTTTAGCTTTCCATAATTCTTCTAACAGCCAAAGATGGACAGCTTCTATGCCGAATGAGGATACATTTTCTTCCATGAATTACAGTTTATTTTTGCACAATTGTGTTTTCCCTGTGGGACAATAGCTTACTTTTCCTGACAACATTAAAATATAACCGAGAAGATCCAGTGAACTACAGTACAATGGTGTCAAAAACACATTAACAGCTGATGGAACAAATAAACAGATTATCCTTTCTTATACAATATATAAATGTAAACATGCCATTTATTGTAAATATGTATATATGCCATCCTTTATAGAATCTTAGCTTATTTCAATTTTCTTATTTTGCAGTCTTGGTTCCTGTGTCTATATGCTTGTGCTTTTGTTTGTGTTTGGTTCACAATATGCTATATCTGTTTTTCATGACCCTCCTTTGCCTCAGTCTTCACTTTATTTCTCTGGAGTACAGATCCCCCCCAGCATAGATCAATGGTGACAGGACTGGAGACCATCTTTTTCAGTGGCATCCACATGCCACTTTTCTTAACCATGCTGAGAAACCAGAAAGCTCTGACTTCTATCTGATGGGGCTTCAATTTTAGCTCCTTATTGCAAATTAACCTTCCTTTCCCCGCCATGTGGTTGGTGTGGTAATGGGGATCTAGGAGAGCTGCTTGCTGGAGAAGCATTGAATTTCCTCACCTCCTCCCACTGGTTTCCCCCAAGCCCAATGAGCTCTGCTCAGGAGCCTGACAGAGAGTGCTGAATTTGCCATTCCTGGCTGTGGACTCTAGGATATATGTGGTATTTTGGTAGGGAGGGTCATTGTTCTTGGCCTTCTCTGCCATCAGAGTAAAATCTGAGAGAGAGGTCGGGTTTGCCACTCTGCTGTGGTGGACAACAGATGTGGATCTGGAACAGTGGTATCAGCAACCTTAGGAAGCTTGCTAGAAATGCAGAAACCCAGCCCTCCCACCCCCAGATCCACTTACTCACATCTGCCTTTTACCCAGGTCCCCAGGTGGTCTAGGACACTGGTCCCCTCATGGGGTACACCAGCTACTTAATTTTGGGGTAAGGACATATGAGAATCTCTACTTACTATTTTAATGTAAAGAAACAGGAAATATGTTAAGCTTTACTAGCATCTGTATGGACACTGATGAATGGTCTTGTGTCTGGTCAGTTCTCCCTGTATCTTTGGGTAGCGGGGGAGACATAATTGCCCTTAACTGTTTTATTTGATTTCGGCATAATGCAACGTACATATTAGGTAAGGTGTATTTGCAGCTTGTATTATTTAATTTTTAAACTAACTCTCACAAAAGGAACAGAGAGTTTAAAGTAATGCCCATGAAAACAATAAAGTGCAGGTTCCAGTTAATAACAAGAAAATAGAAACTTTAATATTAGCCTTCACTAATGATGGAAAAAAATGTTTTGTAATATTCATGGTGTTTGTGCATAAGTAGATATACACTGTTATGAAACAGCATATATGGAGGGAGGAGCGAGGCACAGGGTAAAACTCTACCATGCTGCAGAATTTCCACTCTTCCCTTAGGATCCTCACCAACAAGATATGACTAGATATCTGTGGGAGGGCTTCATCACACCCCACTGCTCATCATTGTATTCTATGATTCAGGGTTCCTGACTTGAAACAGTTCTTTCCTTGCTTGCCCCCTTCCTTCCCTCTTTGCTTTCTCCTTTCCCGTCCTCCTCTCTTTTCCTGTCTTTCCTTGTTCCTGTTTTTCGTAACTCCCTCCCTCTCTTCTTTCTTCCCTTCCTCTCCCCTTCATTTTCTCTCTCCTTTCCTCTCTCTCTTACCTTCTTCTTACTCTTCTGACTTTTCCACTGGCCTAGCCCCCTTTCTCCAGGACCTGTTGGGGTAGTTGTACCCATAATGGATAGGACTGAGGATGTTGGCTTCTTGGGCCTTTGCTGAGTCTTTCACCAGATTCACAAGGAGAGGTGCTCATGGGCCCTGCCCATTGAACCTTTTCTCCTTGAGAGACTCACAGCTTGACCTCACCACACAGAGTGCTGTCTCTAACATGTGTCCTACATAATTGCTGCTTCTCTTTAAACCACTTGCTCACCTGAAAAGTTTTGATTTCATGTTGCATCTTCTACAAGTAGCATAGTACTCTGGTAGGGCTGCCGAATTATTTATGAAGAGCTTGTGCAGTGCCCGAGATTAAAGAATGATCAGTTGTTCGTTGATAAAGTTGGCTCTTTGTTTCATAACAACTGTAGTAGTAGCCACAAGCCCTCAAATGATTAGGACATACTCACAATATTATAAACCATATTGGATTTCATTATCTCAACACCTTGCAAGGTTGTGAGTGCAGTTCTCATAGAAATAAGGAACTAGACCTTGAGGGAAGTTAAGTATCTTGCTGTAGGTAATACACCTAAAAGGAACAGGATGGAGAGTCAAACCTCAGCTGATTTTACTTTTTTCTAAAAGAAGCCAAAAAACAAAAACTATCCATTTTTATATGTTATGTGTTTTAAAATTTCTCATATTGTGGGTATGAATCAAAACCATAACCTAAGACTGTGTACAGTGGTTCACACTTATAATCTTTTTGGGTGGCCAGTGGGGGAGCATTGATTGAGCCTAGGAGTTAGAGATCAGCCTAGGTAACATAGCAAGACTCTGTATCTACAAAAAA